TCTCTCTCTCTCTCTATAGTTTTTCCAAATTTTCTTTTCGATTAATTGTCAAGTCACGAATTGATTTCGTTTTCAAACGTATTCGAAAGGCCTCATTTTTTGCGATACTCGTTGCTTTATAATAACTATAACTAGTAAAAAAAAATACGTATGTAGGCACACATGACTTTATACATACATACATTTATATATATATATATATCTCGTCACTAATATAATACGACTGTGTATAATCTCACAGTTTACATAATAAATATAATAATTATTATATTTTTTACTGGTGAGTATTGCTCAGAAGATGAGAATTAAATTGATATACGTTTCCGCATTGTTCTCCGCAAATGTTGCACTTCCACGGATTGCTTTCGCAGTGACATCCTTTGTGTAGAAAATACAAAGTTTGATCCGGAAATAATATGCCGCAAAAAACGCATTGTAAATTTTGCAAACTGAGCATGTGCCTCTGAAAATCTTTTCTTGCTTCCTCGTTGGAACTCAAAGCGTTCACGCTGTTCCCTAAATTTTGAAGATTTTGCAATTGCTGCGATATTTGAGCGGGTAAATTCAAATTGTTGAAATTGATCGGAGAGGAATCCCCATTTCCGTTTGCGTTGTTCGAACTGGGACTGATTGTTGCCAATGATGGACGAACTCGTATATTTGCTCGTGAAGAAAGTTTTCTTTTCAGATCATCTCGCAGAAGGGATTTCAATGGTGATACCTGCTTAAAAATTTAATTGCAAATTCGAAATTCATTTTTTTTTTTTTTTTTTTTACCAATACTATCAATACCAATACGAAAAATTTAAATAAATAAATAAATATTTAATTCAAATAAATACTTCTTACCTTAATTAGAGAAGCTTGATTCGTGGCCGTCGTTTGATTTGTTTGAGGTGAAGGAGACGTACTTTTAGTTAAATTAACAGGACCGTTTGTTATTCTAGAATTTTTCTTTTCCGGGAATCTGTAACCAAAGTGTAAAAACAATATTAACTTACTAATAATGTTGAAAAGGAAAAAAAAAAAAAAAAGTACAACACACTAACGTTTCATCTCCATCGGTTTTCTCTTGTTTCACAATCGGAATCACACTAAGGGAAGGCATTACGCTAAGTGACTGTAACGGAAGTGGTACCACCGAAGGACTGCTCGGGGATTCTTCAGGCGAATTATTATTATTATTGTTCTTATCGTTATTTTCCGCAGTGTTTAAACTCGAGGTAGGTATATTTGAATCCCCCGAATTTGGAGAACTCGACAAATCTCCATTAGGTTGTTCGGCATTACCTTGATCGGGCTAAAAAAAAATCAATCATTACATTATTAAAAATATTCTTTCAAGGTTTAAACATTTGTTGATTTCAACCACTTTGAAACGCGTGGTATATTAATCAACAAAATAATTACTTACACCTACAGGAGAATACGGAGATGTATCTGTCATGGAGATTTCAACATGCGGAGTCAAAAAGTGCATTGGTGGGGTAGCGTTATCGGCACTTCTAGCACCTTGCGAATCTCCTGAATCGCTAAATGTACCAGTGACAGACTGGTTTGGTTCAACATTTAACGGTATCATTGCCGGAGGCCCATTTCCAGGATTGTCTAAATCTATACCATGTCTGACAAAAAAAAAATTAAAATATTGCAATGTAACTTTCAAAATTATATTTAAATAAAATTTTAAAGTAATAGACGAGATATTAAATGTAGGCTAATAACCGCTTAAATATCAATTAAGTCCTTTAAACGTTCTTATTACCTGTTAAAAACATGGACGCGAAGACTCTTCATCGTACCAGCTCTGAACGAACAAAGAGGACAACTTTTGATCATATCATGATGACCAACATGCTCATTTTGAAAATGAGCTCTCATGGCTATTTGTCTTTGAAAACTGGAAAAAGTAAATAAAATGATTATTCGTTTACCATTGATTTGATAGGAAAACTAAAATGAAAAGCAAGTTTTTTTTTTACCCTCTATTACATATTGGACAGTGATAGGGTAATGTTTTTGTATGAGTAGTAAAATGTTCGGCTAAATGATCTTTTCTAAAAAATCTTTTTTGACAAACTCTACATTCGTAAGGTTTGACACCCGTATGTCTCATTTTGTGCCGTCTCATGTTTGCACCTGAAATAAACCCGAATAATTGAGAAAATTAAAGTTATATTTTATATTTTTAGGTCAGGTCGGTAAAAGTTATACAAACCGTTTGAAAATTTCATGTTGCAAACGTCGCATTCAAATAATTTCCTATCCAATCTTTTTGTAGTTTCTGTATTATCACCATCATTGTTATTTGTGAGGCTGCAACGAGCCATGTGAGCAATAAGAGCAGCACGGGACAAAGTCTCATAATTTTCACATTTATCACATCTATGTACCTAAATAAGATCCAATAAGAGAGCGTATTATTATTATTTTGTTACCATACCTTGTTACTATCTTAATTATTATTTAAAAAAAGAAACTGAAACAAAAAAAAAAATTAACTAACAGGAATGGCGCCATCACTAGAGTCGTAATTTGAGTTCAGGGCATGAGCAACAGGCGATGTCTCGCCGTTTGCTTCTTCGTTGCTACCAGAAGAAGCATTTTCACTACCCTCTAATTGAGTACCCGAATCAGGTTCAGGTTCGTTCATGCGTAATACTACTGTTTCAGCTGCTGCCATTTTATATAATTCTTGCTTACAATATGTATTCCTTAATTTTTCAATATCTTCGTCATAAATACATCCTTGTGAACCTGTGACAACAAAAAAAAATCCCATGAAAACCTTTTTTTTTTAATTCGAGAAAACAACAACAATAATAATAATAATAAAACTAAACAGAATTTCAAATTGAATGAATTCCGAATCAATTTATAAGTAATTTTTTAATTTTTACAGGGCGGTATTAATAATGTATGAAAATAAAAACAAAACAAAAAAATGTAAATTACTCATGATCTCATTTTAAAAAATAAATAAATAAATAAATGATGAATACACTCTCTCTCTCTCTCTCTCTCTCTCTCTCTCTTTCCTTTTATTAAAAATGATCAATAAATTTTTGAAATAAACCTTTAAAGTACAATTTCAAATACACACCTAACACATAACTGTGTTTTGTAATTATAAAAATAAAATTCACTTCTCTCACTAAATTCCAATGAATAAAATATATAAAAGTGAATCACATTAATTATTATAAATGATATTAATAAAAAAAAAAGAAAAGAAAAAAGTTTATACATAAAAGTGACACAAAATAATTAAATGTCTTTAATGGTATTGAGTTCAACAAATCGGTGGACCTTGTAGAAATATTTATAAATACTTACATAAAAATTTAATAGCTCATATAAAAATGGTTGAATTATCACCAAACTACAACATTATTATTTTAGAAATTATTATGAGAAACATAGTTATGTACATAGATATATAAGATTTCACCAATTTAATAAAATTAAAATGAGAATAACAACATTAAATGTATCAAATTATTGCAGTTATTTAGAAAAGTATTCATAAAATATTATAAATAATAATATTATTATTATTTTTTGTAATAAATAAATAAATAAATAAACACCTCAACTTGTAATTTTAAATAATTAAATTTGTTATGCACTCATATTAAAAAATTTTTTGTTATTCCACTTTAAAATATATAGGAAATTCATTTTGATTAAAAAATAATTTTTCAAAAAATTAATAAAATTATTAAAACAGCACTTTTTTACACTTTTTCTTCACTGGAAAAATTTAAAAATGTATTTAAGTATTATAAAAATAACTTACAAGGTCTAGATTGTGTTTGAGAAAGTAGCTGCTCTAAAATTCTCATAATAAGCTAAAAAAAAAATTTTCACTAAATCTAAAAAACTAAAATAAATTTATTTTTTAGTTAACCCATGAATTTAACAACCAAGCTCAAGAAAATAATAATAAAAAGCAAGCTCACAAAAATAATAATAATAATAAAAAAAAAAAAAAAAGGAAACACCCTAAAAATAAAAAGAATTCCACCCCTCTTGTCCTTGAATTTATTTCCCTACCTGTGTCAGAGTAACCTGTTGAAACGACCTTGAATATAAAAACACCTGCAAAACAAATTCTACCTGTCAAAATTCATCCCCTTGCACACAATACAATTAATTTTAAAAAAAGAAATTTTTTTTTTTTTCACCACCACTTTTCAATATAAAAGAGGATTTTTGAAAATAGCATTGAACTTTAATAAGGACATTGTCCTCTGACCGTGAAAAGAACGCCAAGGCCTAGGACGTCCTACTTTTCTAAACCTGTCTTTGAATGCGATCCTGAATATACCTGGAATGGCCGACGAAACAAGTAGGTTCCCAAAAGTCCCGTTGTTTCAAACCGATAGATATATATATATATATTTTACACTTTTTTTTTTACTATATAATACAAATATTATTCGCGAAATAAAATTTCAACGGAAAAAACATACTATTACTTACGTTAATTATAAGAAATTTAACGACAATTACCCCATATTCACGCGAAATTCTTTTTTTTTTAAGCGGACGAATTTATCAACAACTCATTCCAATCTTCTTTGACCTGAAACGGATGTAGGAAGTAGAATGAACCGCTGCGTTTTCCGTTTTTTTTTTTTTTTTTTTTTTTTTTTTTCAAATGAAAACCCGCCAATTTCTGTCATTTCTTTTCAAGGTCTTTACATTCACTTCAAACTCATCCGACAAACTTTTAACGTTATTTTTTTTACAATTTTTTTGTTTTTTATTTATATTATAAATTTAAAAGCGTTTAAAATAATATAATTAATTAAAAATTGTTTTTAAAATTTAGCATTTTTTAAAATACGTTTCGTGAAAAAAAAAATTCTAATTTTTAAGGTGGCAGCACTTGTAGTATACTACAATGTTTGCGTATTTGAATCGTAATGCAGAATAAGTGTCAAATATGAAAAAGAAAAAAAATAACAATTTAAAAAGTTACGAGGATAATATTAGAGAAATAAAATATAAAGGGAAAAAATGGGGTTTGTCACCTGAAGAAATTAATTTTGCTTATGAAGAATCATTTTTGTACTTACGTGAAAAATATCCAAATATAAATTCTCGCCAAAAACCATCTTCTTCTTCGGTAAATTCATCATCGTGGTTAAATCGTTATTTAATTAAAATTATTTTTACCGTCGCTTTCATTATTTTAATAGGACTCGGATTAAATTATAATAAGCCGGCTCATAATTTTATCGAACGTAATATTCAAGAAATAATATATCCGTTTATGAAATTATACCGAATAATAACCTTGCCCTTGGTTCTTTCATATCCAAGTTTATCAGGTAATGATTTGAAAAAACTAATCAAATAATATTACTTGCATTACTTTTCAAAACGTTATTTGATTTTTATTATAACTTAATTAAATTCAAACATTAATTAAATTCAAAATAATTATCATGCATTGAGTTTATCAATTTTTGTGTATTTCTTTCTTTTTAGAATTATACGATGAATCTTGCTTGTTAGAAAATCCATATTTTCAAGTGTCAAACATGGATTGTTGGCCATGTGAAAATATTAAATTCGTTTTAAATTTGACTGATTCAAAACAAAATAATGCTCATGTAGGATTGCCTTATATTATTAAGGTAAATTATTTTATTAATAATAATAATAACGATGATGAGAGTTTTATTTCATTTCACTTCAAATTCAATTATTTTTTCGATATCGTTTCAGGATAATTGCAGCATAGTAAATTTATCTCAAATAAAAAATATTTATCACAAATATCATGACGTTATGAGTAAACATGCTGAAAAAATTCAAAGTAATTATAAATTTAAGACTGCTTCAGAATTATTTTCGCAAAATTGGTCTGATTTAGAAGATTTACACGTTTCGTGGTAATTTTCTTTTTTGTTAATTCAAATTTTATCACCCTGAATCAAATATTACATGTATTTTACTTTTTAGGCGAATAAATCGTATGGAACCTGCCAGAGTACTAAGACACATATTAGGATTGCCAAAAAATGTTGCTAATTATGAAACATCCATACTAATCGAAAGGTATTTACTTTATGACGAACCAAAATCATCATCGTATCAAATTCCAGCGACTGAAGGTGCAAATGTTTTTTTAAAACAATTATCCGGAAGTAGACTCATAGTTTTAGAACCAACTTCGGAATGTTTAAATTCCTGTCAAAGACTTTCAGTATTGCTTCAAGAGCAACATATTCGTATGTATAAATTAAATTGAAAATAATTAATTTCTTTAAATATTTTTACAATAATTAGTGTAAATAATTTTTATATTAAATTAATTATTATCATCGAGTAAACATTAAAAATAAACAGATTTAAACAAATAGCAATTACATTCATTTACTGGTTTGTTAATTTTTTTAAAATAAATTTTTGTTTTGTTGGTCCTCAGACAATAATCGTACATAATCATTCCAATTAAATATTTTCCAGAATTTTCTTTTCACTCCTACTATATTTAAATTGTGACGTGTCATTTATATTTCTGCTATTGTGAGCACAATTCTTTTGTAAAAAAATAAATTTTCGGTTTTGTTCGATTTTTAATTTGTAAAATATTTATATATATATATAGTTGACTAGAACTTTCGTTAATTAAATTAATCGAAACTTTTCAGTTTCATTTTTAAATGCATTCTGTGTTATATTGTACTAAATTCATTCATTTGTTTCAGTGTGGTATAATTGGTGGTATTGGAGACCAAGAAGTTTGCCTGTCATCAACAACACCCAGGGTAGTTTAGCTCTCCTCGGATCAGCCGTTTGAACAATTTCACGTTCATTTTTTTCTCCTCCATTTTGGTAACACGTGATTTGCGCGAATAATAATTTCAATTAAATCTTAAATATATATATTTATATATATATACTTATTTCTAACTATTACCTAAATGAGATTATAACCTGGAAATCATCAATTATTTATTTATTTATTTAAAAAAAAAAAAACCAAATGTTTGCAATTATAAATATAAAACTTACACACAAGTCTTTTTTTTTTTTTTTTTTTTTTTTTTTTTTAATTTTAAAAGTATTTTCAATTATTTATTTCTATTCCGGAAGTTATCGAACTTTCCAAATAAAAATTATATTCATCCAATGATTTTAATA